AATCGATTAATCAAAATGACTGATTTAAGTATTAAATAACATAACAATTGTCGATATGTCGTTAAATGAACTAACCAAATTCAACGTAAATATGGACCAGGCTTGCTTTAAGCGAATTGGACCTGTTACGCCAGATTGGGCCCTGCGCCCCCTCTTGTAATAAATTAAGTTAAATAAACCCAACACATACTATACAGCTCAAAGCACGTTAGTGGTTTTAGAGAGAACGGTAACGATTTTTCTTCTCTATTCTTACGTTATATTTGTTTATTCTGTATGTATTTTGCATTTTTTATGACTATTTTCGAATGAAATAAAAATTGTAAATCTTTCTATTTTACTGTAGTGATATGAATCTATAATCTCTATCTGTAAAAGGCTGGATATGTGTGTGTGTGTGTGTAATGAATACACGGCCGCAATTTTCGACTGATTAGCACCATAATTTATATGCACATGCTCCATTTAGCGGGAAGGCCAAGACCGACGTTGCATTTCCCAACTCCCATCGATAGTGGAAATAATCGATTTTTTTCATGCTTTTACGGCAGTTTTCATGTAGTTTGCGGCCAATTTCTATTGGCCAGAGTGAGAGCCTATAGCTGGCTGCCACGAATAGGCAGGAAGATTCTATTGGCCAGCGTGAGAGCCAACAGCTGACTGACACGAATGTTAACTAGCATGCCAGGATGCAAAAAAAATCGACACAAGTGGGAAAAATTTAAATCTGCATGGCACTTTACTCCAATTGGCTCATTCGCATGCTTAAACTCAACGTTGATTCTGATTCCGCAGAACTTTGTATTTGTTGTTAACATTTTTTTTTCATTCGGTTTTCCAGTTACGAGTCTTTTTTTAAAGCTGATCGTTTTGTGTTCATTTTGTTTAGTTCGTTTTTCGTAACAGATTTAATGTTTAGTATAGAGCTTAGAAAAAAATCGTAGTGTGAGATAGGCAAGAAGTAAGGCATGTAGCAACATCAGCACAGCAAAGGGCACTCCTTTAAAGGCAAGGAAGGGCAAAAATATTTTAAGTCAAGTGATAGCGATTTCTGTATGAGTCGTACGATTTTTGAATCAAGCACGGGCAACGCCGGGCCATGCTACTAGTAAAATCTATATTCCTACGATCATTGGTATTGAACCTAGGAACTCCAGAAAAAAAAAAGGTTCCAGATTGAATTTGTCCATAGAGCAATGGTTAACAAATTGTACACGGCGATATTACACCGATCGTCATTACTTTTTCGACCCTAATGTTGTTCGGCAATGCGCACATGGTTCTGGGCTATTCTTTCACGCTGAATCTGAAAATCAAGTCTATTTTCTCCATCACTTCACGTTTTTTTTCTGTAGAGATAATTTCTATTTTGCTTAAAATCGGACAAAATGCTTAATTCACAGAGATATGCCACAGCTTAAATATGCGAGTGACATGGTTAAAAAATTTCGTTTCATGTTAAAATGATTTATCTTTCAAGAAAAAGTATCTGTCTGTATATCCGAGATGCGGTATTATGTACAATATTTACATTGCTCGGGCTATCATCCCCATCTTTGTTGCCTTATTTATCCCAACAGGTCGGCCGTTGTACGCTCCGGCCTTCTTCAGGAGGTTGGAATGTCGAACTGAACCCTTTATTTCGCTCACTGGGGTAGACTGTTCTAGTTCCACTTGCCATGTCTAATGGATGTCAGTTGACAGTTATCTCCTGTTAATTCGCCTCTGTAATTTCTCCACCGCCTCAACCAGGTATTGAACTCACAACTCTTTGGGTCCTGTCGTTGGATCTAACTAACGCTTTTATCCACTGTGCCATGTGTCCTCGAGGGTACATGGCACATGGAAGAAAAAGTATCCAAATAACATGCAAAATGAATTTTAAGCTATTTCAGTTTAGATAAGCTGGCCTAAAAATGCTTGATTTTATGAGAGATATCTCACCTCAAGATAAACAGCGGGGGAACCAGAAATCTATTATAATGTTAAGTTAGAAATAATTTTCGTTTTGGTTTATCTTTAAAAAAATAAAGTACAATTAAATTTTATTCATTTTATATATTCATCGTTATTTGAAACGAGGTGTTGTTATCAGGCGTTATTCGGTCGAAAGATCTCAGAGATTCATGGGTCTTTAACGCCAACTAAAACGGTCCAGCATGGCTTTTAGAGTGGTACTCTGTGTTGGTCAACGTAGGTGATTGATGGGTGACCAATCCGCCTTGCATCATGGCTTGGTGTCCAGACAAGTAGATCACTGGAAAATTCTTGTTTTGCTCGTCAGTAGTGTCCTGCAAAGCGCATTCTGCTTTCACGTAAGATTGTACCAATATCAGGGATGGCTCCATAGAGCTGTAATTTACTTGGATTTCGTCTCAAAGAAAGGTTAAGTATAGCTCTCAGTATCCGTGTGTAGGTCCCATCAAGCTTAGACTCTAGTGTTTTAGTTAAAGTGCAATCAGTGGTACCCTATATTTAAATACGGCGTCTTTAGTAGGAAATTCCTGTCTGTGATTTAGTTGGATGATGTCTCCAAGAGATTTTAAGTAAAGGAAACCCTTGTTACTGAAATGTTAGATTTTTACTCTAAAAAATATAAAAAATATATCATTTTAAAAAAGTTTTAAAAAAATACTGGGTTTTGCCTGTGAAAAAATTAGCATTAATTGATGACATGAATTTCTGTTATGGGGGAACACACCTATCCTATA